AGTGTCCCAGCCCCCACGGCCACGCAGAGGTTCCCTCTCACTCAGATCTTCGCGTGCTGGACGAGGCGCACCCGTGGGGAAGGCAGTCTGCTTTACTGAGTCGACCAATTCAAATGTTCATCTCATTCAGAAACACCCAGAAATGATGTTTAACCAAATATCTGGGCACCCCATGGCCCAGTCAAGTTGACACATAAAATTACCCATCATGGCCCAGCCGGTGTGGCTCAGCGGTTGAGCATGGACCCTGCACCAAGAGGTCACCAGTTCGATTCCCGATCAGGGCACATGCCCAGGTTGTGGGCTCGATCCCCAGTGGGGGGCATGCAGGAGGTGGTCAATCAATGATCTTTCTCATCAGTGTTTCTATCTCTTTCTCTCTTTCCCTCTCTCTCTAAAAATCAATAAAGAAAAAAAAAATTAAAGTCTTTAATGGTTTTGGTTTTTTTTAATTCCCCATTATGATAAGATATATGGCAGTTATCCATGGTCCCTCTCCTATGGACATATTCTCATTTGTCAAAGTGACTTTAAAAGTATGGTACCCGGATTGTACCACCGTATTCCACGTGGTCTGCCCTGGGCGGAAGGCTGCGAATCTCTTCCTCGATGTCATCTATAAGCACTTAGTGGTCCTGTAGCATCCTCACCGTTGACTCTGCGAACTTCTACTCAGTCGTCATCCCTAGATAATGATGCAAGTTCACCGCAAACCCGATCTCCCCTCCCACCCTATCAGTTGCAGTGGACAGTTTGTGGACTTGAATGAGACTTCACATCTGCTCTGTGAAACTGCACCTTGATGACCACAGTCCGAGTGATTCTGGATCCTGCTTTTCTTCGTTAAGGAGGAGAGCACACCATGATGTTGGGGGACTACCCTGAGTTCTCTCTTTGCTGCTCGTTCCTTTTAGCAACTGTTATCATGATGAGCTTTGATATTAGACAGACTCTTTGGGGCCCAAGCCCCCGGTCTACCATGCATGCGACCTGGGGCCAGTTCTTTGGCCCCTGTAGCCCTTTGCAACTCACCTGTGAGACAAAGTTAACGAGAATGAACTTCTGACGAAGTTGATTTGTGGATGGACTGGGCTAAGGCACACTCTAAGGTCAACAGGAGAAGTGTTAGCTGGTTGCCGTCCACTTGGAGCTCACTGAGCACCGCGCCCACCCCTGTAAGGGGGGTGTACGACGTGGTTCTTACCCACAGAGCGCACGCGCTGGCTGCAAAGGCTTCTTCTTCCAGGACACCCCCCTCAAACACTTGACTGAAGGTCCAGAAATGTTTCCAGGGGCTGTTTAGCACTGGCAGTCTCAAAGGAAATCAATTTCCACTTCAAATACTCACAAATACACTCCTCCTAAAACTGACCTACCTGAAAACATCTGTCCGAGAGACTTCCCCACATGATTTCCCTTCTCCCACTGTGCAAAAGAAAGGTGTGTCTCCCACACCCAGAACGGCACTGTGATGCTCTATCCCCAGCCGTGAAAACCTCCGGGGGCACCAAACAAAAGGGCAATTTTGAAACAAAGTTTTACATGGTGAGAAAAACAAGTGACTCTGTTTTTCAATTCTTTGCTTTCTACAGAATGGGACAAGAACCTAATCAAGGTGTTAACTGATAGAGATTGCTAAAAATATTTTTTGATGATAGATCACGATGCAAGTTTTGGACTTAAAATTCAAAAGAAAGTTAAAGAATTGGATAATGGGTAAAACAAAACTGCTTCTTATTCCTCCTCTGATTTATGTGAACAAAGGTGTTCAGTACTTACATCTATAAAAATAAAAAACAGTGAAACATACTGAGTCCTGGCTCATCCGAGCATTAGTGATGCTGGCCCATGAATCCCTGACCTCAGTGTCAGTCCCCTCCACCGCATGAAATATTTCCATTTTTAAAGTATTTAACTATTTACTTGTCCATTTTCATAATGGATGTATGGGTGTTATTTTGGTCAACAGCATGTTGATAATAATAACTAGGTCCAGAAGAAATATGTTCGACATTGGGGAGTCTTAGGATCACGAGAAATAGAGGTTAACCTTATAAACACATCTGAGTTACCGAGAAATATTAGAGGATGTCAACAAAAGACTTTCAAAGACAAAATATTCCGTCAGAATAAAATTGTTTAGGGGGACGTGGTACAGAAAAATGAGTTCAATGGGGAAAATGATGCCAAGTTGCAAACTTGTAAAAAGAAGTTGTATGTGTATTTTGAAATGAATAATGGTAGGTATCGAATCACTAACATTTTAAAAAGCAATCTAATCGTTGTATTTTTAAATGGAAATCTTTCAAATAAGCTGAAAATCATTTCAACTTGTTTGGAAGATGGTCCTAAGTGAACTTAAAATGTGCTACAAGGCCCTGGCCAATTTGGTTCAGCGGTTGAGCGTTGGCCTGTGGACCAGAGTCCCGGGTTCGGTTCCTGCTAGGGGCACATACCACAAAAAAAAAAAAAAAAAAAAAGTGCTAGAAGGCCCATCACTTCCACAAGTCTTTGAAGCAAAAGCGGGTCAAGGCCACAGAGGTCAATTACACACACCTGTTCCAAAGAGGCCACCTACAAGTTAGCACAACCCGCTCCAGCCTCGTTCCCTTCTCCCTCCTTAGGCAAGAAGCATGATCTCCACTCACTTGAAAGGAGAGGCTAGGAGATTCAGATTCTAGCAAGATAGGAACTACAATAACCTAGAAATTCCTAGAAATTCTTGGAAAGTATAACCAAATGTATATCCTGGTATAGAGAGCTCATAAGAGAGAGTAAGGAGGAGTTCCTCAGTGCCAGAGGTCCGTGGCCTGAGATCTGTGGCAGGATGAGCCAGGGCTGACACCCAGTGAGTCTGCCCCAGGTGAGTCTGCACTGTTCTCTCAGTAACCAGGAGTCCCCTGTGTCCACAAATAAGAAATGAGCCTGTACATGGTGGGAGCTGGAACTAACACCCCAACATAAAGCCAGAAGCCACAAAGAGACACAACCCCAATAAAGGGTAGATTAGAAAAATTCAGGGGGGGGAGGGAGGAGAAACATCTGTAACAAAAATAAGTTAATTAAAAAAAATGCATTCACTAGTATGGGAGACTTCAAGGAACGTCCGTTTTCCTTCCTCGTATTAGAGAATCCTCCCCTAAGAAATCCAGGCAGCAGCGCTACGCCCCACGGGGTTTGGGACTTGAAATCGCATTACCTGTGGATCTGGGAAGCCCCAAGTAGAGAAATTAATGTGCAATTGGTTTCCATGGCAAGCGATAACCCAAGAAGTCCAGAAAAAGCTATTGCAAAGATACTCTGAAGAAACAGGCACCGCACCCTCGGATGAAGCTCCCGGAAGACGAGAGCTCACGATCCAAGATGACAAATTAAATCACAAGGAAGCGTCCCTCGTGGGCAAGAGCCAGCAGGCAAAACAAACAGCGGGACTAGGAAGCCCACATTGCAGATCAAGGGGGAAATGCTAGAGACAATAAAATCAGAATATTTAAAATCACGAGACATCAAAGAATTCATTAAAAAGGATAAAGGCAACACACACCATGAAATAAGAATGATCTGTTTTGGAAATATTCTGAGGAAAAGTCAGGCCCCCGTGATGCCTTCGGCCTGGCCTCAGTAGGACCCCCAGTCAGACAGGACCCCCGGAAGGTCCAGACAGTGTCGAGCCAGGCCAGGGGACAGCAAGTCGCTGCAAGCCACTCTGCACCACGTGACGTCCAGGTGCACCAAGGTCGCCCCAGGACTGCGGCCACCAGCCGGCACCTCGGCAGAGCCTGGTTCCCTCAGTGACCCCCCGGCGCTCCCCCCATTGCCTATGCTGTTTGCAGTTAACAAGAAGAGCATTAGCTGTTGTTTTGCCTGGGTTTTCAGATCCGTTGTGGAGTACAGATTCATCTCAGCAGCGAGAGCCAGTGCGGAGCCAGCAAAACCCCGCGACCCGGAGGACTGTGGGCTCCCGGGTAAGGGTCGTGGGGCTGGTCTTCAACCTCTGTGTCCCGTGAAAGGAAACAGAGGCCCAGAGGAAGGCTGGCCTTGAAGAAGGCAGGTTTGAACAGCGCGAATCCCCTTACGTGGGGATTTTTTTCAATAGTCCGCCCTTCCCACCTGTGGGTTTCGCACCCACAGGTTCCACCGACCGCAGATGGAGAAGTGGATTTTCAAATGTGGACCGAAAACTCTGTTTTCTACTCAAGGTTGGTTGAAATCTGTGGAGGTGAAGGGTCAGCTATAGTTATGTTTTGGGGGAGTTAAAAATTGGATGCACAGCCCTGGCCAGTCTGGCTCAGCGGTTGGAGTGTCAGCCCGTGGACCTAAGAGTCCCGGGTTCGGTTCCCGCTGAGGGCACGTACCTCGATTGCAGTTTGTCCCCGGCCCCAGTTGGGGTCATGTGGGTGGCAGTCACTCGATGTGTCTCTCTCACATCAATGTTTCCCTCTCTCTTTCCCTCCCGCTCCATCTGAAGATAAATGAAGAAAAAAAAAAATGTCCTCGGGTGAGGATAAAAAAAATAAAATTGGATGCGCACCCTGGCCAATTTGGTTCAGCAGTTAGAGCAGTGGCCCTTGGACCAGAGGGTTGAGGGTTCAATTCCAGTCAAGGGCACATACCTCAGTTGCAGTTCATCCCTGGGCCTGGTCGGGGTGGTGCAGGAGACAACCAGTCGATGTATGTCGATGTATTCCTCTCAAATCAATGTTTCTCTCTCTCTCTCTTTCCCTCCCTCCCACTCTATCTGAAGATAAATAGAAAAATATCCTCTGGTGAAGATTAAAAACAAAATTGGATGTGAATTTTCCACCCCAGGGGTCAGCACCCCTAACCCCATGATATTCAAGAGACAAGCTCAGACTTGGCCTTTCCAGCCGAGTCCGTGGCCGAGCTGGGGACGGATGGCCCAGCTGCCTCCCTCCTTGAGCCCCAGCCCAGAGCCCTGGTTCCTCCTTCCGCCATCTAAGGGGGGATGGGCACAAGGCCAGAGCCTTCCCTTACCGGCTGATGTAATTACCCCACTAGACGCGGAACTCTATGAGAATTCTAGTTGTTTGCATTTTTCACACACACTGTCTTCAGGGGGAAATCTGGTACGTTTTGCTGAGACTTGACTTTGCGTTGCATTCTGGTGCAAGAATTCATCTCCGATGACAAACTCCCTAGGACAGGAAGAGACAAAGCAGAGTTCTGAGCAGCCACTGCCATCCCTCAGCCCACATTGAGGCCACCCCATCTAGCCTCTCAGCAAGCTAGTTTGAGTGAAAACCCCAAGAGGGAAGGCTGGAAGGCGGGGGGAAGGACAAGATGAGGAGAGGAGCCAGCAGCCTGCAGCAAGCCCACGGAGGATCTGGGAAGAACAGGCTAATTTCGGCTCCCAGTGCGACTCGCAGCCAGCTGTTAGCTTGCTCCGCCGCCTCCTTCCCTCTCCCTCCTTGTCTATCATTCACTCCCCAGGGCCCTTGAAAACGCTTCTGCCTCCAGGGACTCCGGTTCCAAAGAGGGTGAACTTTCCCACCTGAGGGACAGGTGAACCCTGAACTGGACCCCAGGCAGGTCCAGCGCTCTGCAAACGATGCCGCGATTCCCGGTGGGGACATCAGGGCAATGACAAGGGGCTGAGGCCGTCGTCCCACCGCGAGAGCAGCCGCAGTGCCCAGGGTGGGGCCATGGGCTCTGCAGTCAGAGGGCCTTCTGCTCACGCGACCACAGGTCAATCACCCACCTCTCCCAGCCCCGTCCCTCATCTATAAAACAGGGCTCACAATGGTAACGGGAGGAAACAGCAGCCCCAGAGGGCTACCGTGAGGTTTCAATGGGATCGCGCCTGTGGAGCACCTGGTTCAGCGCCCACACGTAGTAGAAACATACTTTAAAAATGTTACTTCCCTTCACCTCCTCCTCCCCCATGGGCCAGGTACCAGTGAAGACCGAAGGAATGAAAAACAATGACTGCAGAGAAAAGCTAGGTGCAGAGGAGAAAGGCTGACATCCCCACTGAGGACCGGACCAGACGGGTCCAGGAAGGAGCAGGGCTAGGCTGAACCAAATCGCAGCCGTTTCACTAAAGCAGTACAGACCCTTGGAGACCCACCTGCTCCTCAATCCTCTGTTGCACTCAGGTGTGTCTGTCTGTCTTTCCGTAAACTGATCTACCAGGGTGTCAAGATCAACGTCAGCTATGTAAGAAGCTCCCGACCCAGAAGGTAGCTGACTTTGCTCCCTGGCTTTTCCCAAAATCCCTGTCTGAATCCTGCCCCCTGGTGGCCCAGGCCTGTGGTCTGCACCCCTGAGCCTTCCTCTGTTCTCCAGATTCCAAGCATGGGTTCCGGGCAGCTGTCTCAGCCCTCGCTTTGACTGGACCTTGGACACTCACTCATTTCTCCCTGTCTCAGCTACCTCTCTACTTGACTTCAGACATACCTGCCTTTCATCTTCATCCCCGACTACATTCTCCTGTTTCTTCCTCGATAGCTCTAATTCCTGCCCGAATCCTAGATAACACGTAGCAGCTCAAAGACAGACTAGAAGTCAGCAACGGCCACTGCCGCGTCAGAGGCAACACCGGAGACAAAGCTTTGCACTCTCTCCTGTAAGGAACGGCATTGGCTGGAACAAGTACTCCAGAAGGCAATGTGACGATGTCTAGTAAAGCCAAGCTGTGTGCGCCCCATCACCCAGAAGATCCATGCGTGTCCGTGGGGAGGGACCAGGACAGTTATGCTGCAGTTAAAACAACGCATGAGTATCAATGGCTTCAGATGATAGGTTTGTTTCTCTCTCGTGCTACTGTGGCTCACAGCTCAGCCTGGTGACTACTGCTCACTGTCCTCACTCAGGAACACAGACTGATAGAGCCTGTTCATCCTGACCTTCGGGAAGAAGGAAAGGTCAAGTTGCACATGGGCTGTTGGAGGCTTCGAACACTCAGACATTGGCCAAAGAAGTCCCACGGACCCTTCTGCCTTCAGAGCATCCGCATGTGCAGTCCTAGGCTCTCGCACGGGTTGGTCGTGGGGAGATGACCCTCTTCCCAGAAGAAGGGACAGCACCTGAGCTCCTTTTCCTGGATTCAAACCTTCCTCCCCTAGCAGATGACATGTAACCTCTCACAAGCCTCAGCGTCCTTGGAGAACCCCAGTGAAGCCAGCACCCCAAATGCAGACTGTCCAGTACCAAGCCCTGCCTGGTCCCCTAGAACAAGGGAAAAGGTGAGGGGAACTTTCCACGGCGATGAAATCCACGTCATGACCAGCAGGTGGCCTGGCCCTCAGGGAGAGGGGACATCTCTGTCTTGCTGAGCCTGGTCTTAGGTGTTTTCCCCTTTTTCAACACAGCCTATTTCTTTATGCACGTCCCGTGACATTATGGGACTCACTCAGCCCCTGACCAATGGCAACCGGAGGGGCCCGCCTAGCACAAGAGCTCCGGAGGGGAGAACCAGAAACCTGGAACAGCACTAACGACTCCTACATTCTACACCCCAAATTCGATCACTCTCATTCCCGGATGCGAACTGTACTCACCCCGTCCCCAGGGAGACGATCCTGAAGCCCCATCCCTGCACAGCTCCAAGCTCGGAGTCCGAGAGATCCGATTCCGCCCAGTGACTTCTACTTCAGGGTGAAGGGTAGTTGTCTCCACGGGTAGATGAGGCTGATGCTTCTTCATCCGGAGACTCAGGAGTCAAGCTGTCGTCTCTAACGTACCAACCTGAGTGATGGCCACAGGGCGGGAGGCAGCAATGAGCATGGCCATCCAGAGAAGAGAGTCATGGGACAGCAGACACAGCAATTCCAGACCTCAGAGCATTCTTGCCCCTGAATGGAGGATATTATTTCATTAGACTTTGATTCCACCTTCTGGAATGTTCTCTGCAGGCTCTGATCCAACCCTTCCAGAGAACTCTTTCCCGGACCCTCCTTGGCCAGAGCTAACGCAGACACCAGAAAACATGCTCTTCTTGTGGACCACATACCCTTCTCAGCACACTGCGGAGCCAGGCGTTGTTCTGAGATTTAAACAAAGACTAGATCAGACCAGTGGTTCTAGGAGAAGTATAATTCTCTCAGATCCTTTAGTCTGTTATTATTTTATTCCTGCCGGCACTAACAGGCAATAGACAAGCGCAAACCTCCTTTATAAATACATCTCCTATGTGCTGTATTTCTTTTTTCTAATTTTTTTTTTTTAAGAGAGAAAGAGGAAGGGAGAGATAGAAACATCAATGTGAGAGAGGTCCATCAATTGGCTGCCTCCTGCACGCCCCCTACTGGGGATCGAGCCTGCAACCCAGGCATGTGCCCTGACCGGGAATCTAACCAGGACCTCTCAGTCCATGGCTCAAGCCACTGAGCCACACCAGCTGGGCTGCTATATTTCTTTATTACCTAGCCACCTTGCCATTGTAGATTTAATTGAAAGTATTTTAATCCACAGCCTTATTCTTTTCCTCCTGATACATTTCGTCCAATTGAAGAAACTAACTTTTATGAGAAGATGTATTAATGCATCCAGAGATTTTTAAAGGGTATGAGTTTTATAACATTGATATAATCCTTACAAAACTAAATTTTAATCATCCTCTGTCTCTCTAAGCTTTTCTTAATTTTATCTTTTATTGTTTGATGACAAGAAGCATTTGCTTTTTCTAGTCTTAATATTGCATGCTGGCCAACTCTTTCCTGAAATCATCCTTTTCTTGAAATATCTCATCAAACACCTTGAAGAATAACTAACTTACACAATTTATATTCTGCTTTCCAACCTCTTTACCTAAATCTCCAAGTTTATTAGGTAAAGTATCTCCTTCCCGAATCCCTACAAGTGCAGTTTAAGAGAAGGTGTCTCCACTGCATGAGGTCAATGGCCGTTTTCCAGCCTTTTAAAAAGTTTCCTCACTGACCCTCACTCACACAGCTCCTAAGCCGGTACCACAACCAGGTGTTCTGTTCTGGAATGCCCACCGAGGGACTCTGGGAGCTTCCAGTCAGGATAGGGAGGTTACGCTGACTTAACAAAACAACCTAAACCTCAAGTGTTCGAGTCAAGGTTTACTTCTTCCTCATGCCCCACATCCATCAGCTCCACCTCGTTCTCCCTCCGAGAAGCTGGCTGATGGAGCCTCACCCTCTGAGCAATGCTAGTCATTGTGGCAGGAGGAGAGCAATCACAGACTAGCTCTCAAAAGTGCCACCTTGTAAGTGATGTGCATCACTTGTGCCTATAGCTCATGGCCGAAGAAGTCACGGGTCTGCCTTCCAGGGCACAGGGAGTGCAGTTGTCTTGTGTGCCCAGCAGGAAGACATGGGAAAACCGATGAATAGGAAGCAGCAGCAATGACTCCTGGTCTACGCCAGTCCATACCCTTGGGAGACTCACATCTGAGTCAAATACAGGCATGTTTCTTGATACATAGTTTGTAAGAGCCTCCCCCCAAAAAGAGATGGGGGAACAACCTGAGTGTCCATTATTGGGAGAATGAATAAAAGGAAATTGTGGTGCCCGGCCGGTGTGGCTCAGTGGTTGAGCGTTGACCCATGCACCAAGAGGTCACGGGTTTGATTCTCTGTCAGGGCACATGCCCGGGTTGTGGGCCGATCCCCAGTGGGGGGCATGCAGGAGGCGACCAATTGATGTTCTCTCTCATCGATGTTTCTAGCCTTCTCTCTCCCCCTCTGTCTTCCTCTCTTTCTAAAATCAATAAAGAAAAAACATTTTTTAAGTTGTGGGATAATTGCGTAATAAAATATTTTCATCAATTTCAATGAAAACCTTGAACTACAAGCATCAGCCTAGATAAAGCTCAAAAACATAACATCGATTGAAAGGGGCAGATTGCAGAGTACAACGTGATGCTATTTGTATAAATTTTTAATCATACGTAGAATTATTATACGTCGTTAATGGAAGCACGTGTAACGCGAGTCCAACAAGCAGGACTCATGGGTGTAATCAGAAAGCAGCTGCCCTGTTGCCTATTAATGTTCCTTTATCTTTATTTCATTTGGCATGTCTTTCCCCCACCCCAGAATGAAATCTAGGCAGTTCTAATCACTAAATAATGGCCTCTAATCAATAAATAATGTCTATCTTAATGCAATCTTCACAATTTTCCACTGCATTTGGTTACTCCTTTTGTCAATTATTGCCATTGTTCTCGTTATTAATGCCACATAATAAACCACCCAAAGCCCAGTGACACATGGAAACGCACAAGCCTCTCTTTCTAGTTTGCGAGTCCGAGGCGGCTCCACTGGTCTCAGCCGGGCTTGCTCCAGGCGACGAGCCTTGTTCAGGGCTGCTCCGTGTCTTTCATTCTTTAATAAACACCCTCTCTAGCTGGGTCATGTCCTCCTGATGGTGGCAGGAGAGAGGAGAGTCCTCAATGCAAGCCATTGCATGCTTTATTCACGTGACATCAGCTAACAGCCACTGGCAAGTCACGTGGCCAGACCCACTACCAGCGGGGAGGGAAATAGATACCACTGCGGGGGGCGCAGGGGGAACACTTACAGAAGCAAAAACCACTCTCCTACTGTGTACCTCAGGCCAGCTAGAGCGTCGCCGTCCAGTGGGGAACGAGGCCAGCTTTCCCCTCCTTCCCTCCCTGTGCCCGTCCTCTGCTACCTCGTCAGCCCCGGTTTCTGACCTGTCCAGGTCTCAGAAGAGGGAGGGAAGAGAAGAAGGGGCAGGTTTCCTGCTTGACTAATCCCGGCATCACAGCCCCTGAGCAGGAGGCCTTCCAGGGTCACGTATGCGCGCTCCACTCCCATGGGTTCTCTTAGGGGTCTTCAGAGTTCTAGTCGGTGGCTTCTGGTTGGGGGCGGATGGCACACGTGCTCAGAGCTCACTGACAACAGCTGACGCCATAAATCCTCTTCGAACCTCAAACCCCCGACTCATTCATACTCTCGTAAGGATGAGCGTTAAAGGTTCTGCAGCTGGTTTTCCTTTGTAGACCCTTCTTCATGGCCTCGCACCTTATCTGTGGCCTGGGCCTCAGCCGAAACTTCCACTTTAACTGCCATATTGTTACACAAAACAATGCAGCAGTAGTATAAACCCTGGGGAGAAGGAAGCATACCAACTGCAGGATGGCTGCTGGAGCCCTGGGGAGCGGGGAGGGAAGCAGAAGGCAGACAGAGGCGGGTGTGTGCTGGTGAAATCTACATGGCAGCTTGGCTAGGCCCTGATACCCAGATATTTTGTCAAACATTATTCTAGATGTTTCTGTGAAGTTATTTTTTTTAGATTAATATTAAATCAATAGACTTTAAGGAAAGCAGATTACCCTCCATAGTGTGGTGGGCCTCGTCGAATCAGTTGAAGACCTTAATAGAAAAAGACTGACCTCCCCCAAAGAAGAGGGAATTCTGCCAGCAAACTGCCTTTGGATTGAAGCTGCAACATTGGCTCTTCGGTGGGGTCCCCAGCCTGCTGGCTAAAGATTTGGGGCTTGCTAAGCCTCCACAATGGCAGGAGCCAATTTCTTTAAAAGAAAACAAAACATAAACATAAACATGCTTCCTGTTTTTCCTGTTTTTCTGGAGAACCCTGACCAACACAAGAACTTCTCTGCAGATGGGCAAGGTGGGACAAGATGAGCATCAGAGCTGAGGGAAAGGTCTGTTTTCTTTTTCTTTGAAAATCTGCCTGAGCAGTTCCTGCCTTTCGCTACCCTGTATTTTATCTTTGGGTCAGGTTGTGTTGCTTTTGGCCAAAGGCTTCAAGATAAATGCATTCCTGGAAGCTACACTGTAAATCCAATTGTCTTAAAGCAAATGGTGCTTTCCCATGTAAACAATGTTACATTGAATAGTAACAGTAGGAGTACTACCCTGCGCTTGTATAGCGCTTTGAAAAAGACCAGGTACAGGCATTTAGTCCTGGCAATATGTTCTCTCTCTTTTTCTTTTTTTTTAAATATGTTTTTATTGATATTTTTAAAGAGAGAAATAGAAACATCAATGTTAGAGTGGAACATCCATCGGCTGCCTCCTGCCCTTCACCAGGGACCGAGCCTGCAACCCAGGCATGTCCCCTGGCCAGGAATCGAAGCGGGACCTCTCAGTCCATGGGATGGCACTCAATCCACTGAGCCACACCAGCTGGGCATCACTGTGTTCTCTTGATTGTGCAGATGAAGAAACTGAGGCTCAGAGAACCGTGTTGCTCAAGCCACACTGATAATAGCGACTGAGCCAGGATTCAATCCTAGTTCCGACATCTCCGTAACCAAGTTAGGACTCAGCTTCAACCCAACTGTACACACAAGGAAAAGTTCATCCAAGTGCAGAGGTTCCAGAGCTCAAGCCTCCACAACTGCTTAAAACTGTAAACTGTTGCTTTTAAGTCACATAAAACAGGCAAATGAGCACATCGATCGCTCAAGAAACCCCTGAACTCTAAAAGCAGACATATAACCCATAAATAATCATCACTGCCCACCCACAAAGCTACTCACCCCAAACTACCATGTTCCATCACCCACATAAATCCTTCACGAGCGATCATCTCCACTGAAAGAAATGCAAATGCACCAGGGACCACCTGAGTCTATATATTTTTCCAGTCTTTCTTTGTTACTTTGATCTTCCTGAAAACAAAATCAAAATTCATGAATGGTGCGGCTCGGGTCCAGCTTGGGGGCAGGGGACAGCAGGGGCTGACTTTGTTAAATCAGGGCTGAGCTACAGGTACCATAGAGGAGAGGCAGAAAAGACATGGATGGGTGGAGCTGGGAACCCGGGAGTCAGACAGCCCCCTCGGCCGGCAGGCTGAAGGAGCAGGAGTCCCACCCCCACCCCACACCCCCAGC